TTCTCTGATCACCTTGTGGTCAATGAACTGAGAAGGAAAACAAAATTCATTCATTACATTATTTAGTTTATAGAATTGATTGATCCTTGTAGTACAACTAATAATAAGCTATACCTAACAGGTTAAGAACGGGGAAAAGCGCGGAGTCGCAGTAATCAAAATACGTCCCGTACCAATCCAAAAGAGATTCGCCACATAGAGTATAATTACATATTCGCCTTAACCCATTAGGCCAGTATGTCATTCTCTTTTATATTTACATATGTCTACTATCCATTTCAATGAACAGTGCACTCGGTTGTAAGTTGAATAACTCCAAAACGAAAGCAGCTGGCGACTTGCGGTTTTCAACATTCGAGACAGAGTCATATTTTTTTATATGGAAATATCAAATCTGATTGGTCAATTTTGACCAGTCAGAAGGATTCTTGATGAACATTTTAAAAACAGTATTCTGCAGGCATTTACCATTGGATTTAGGATTTTAACATAACTATTCGATAGAGAACAAAGTTCTCTTTCGATCTGCGAAATACCCAGCCCACTAGCGTGTTTCGTTTAGGAGTTATAAGCATTTTCCCGAGAGCAGAAGTGTTGAAAAATCGCGAAAATCACTGAAAATGCCGTTTGGGCTCTCGGCAAAATGCTTATAACTCCTGAACGAAACACGCTAGAGATTTCGGTCTTTCGCAGATCGGAAGAGAACAGTTTTCTCTATCAAATGGTTATGTTTAAATCCTAAATCCAATGGTAAATGCCTGCAGAATATTGTTTTTAAAATGTTCATCAAGAATTCTCCTGATTGGTCAATACTCTCTTTCAAATGCTGAAAACCGCAAGTCTCCAGTTGCTCCAGCTGATTAGTAGAATGTTGGCCTAAAAGAAAATTCAATTTATCTCTAAAACTTAAAAGATGATTGTAGATCTGGTAACATCGGTCAACATATCCATAAGGCTTTTCAACTGTTTAATTAATACCATTTTGAACTTCGAAAAGACAATCAATTATCCTCTCTTTATAAGTTCTAGCTACAATTTAAAAATAGCACTTTGACTATTTTAAATTTTGACTATTTTTGTTAGTACGTTCTTACCTTAGGCATCTGGCGTGCAGCGCGTTTCTATCTTTTCGTATATGGCAACGTACAGATACAGTCAGTGCGCGAAGAACGTGCCAGAAATGAAAGAGAACGTTGTTTTACTAAAATTATGAGATTCGCCACCGATAACTAATATTTACATGCTGCCGCTGAAGGCACAGGAAATTTCCATAGCCTCGCGCCGCCGCCGAAAATTCTTTATCGGCGCACATGTCAGATTGTCTATGAAACAAATTGTCCACACCATTAGTAGCATTCCCACTTCATTTCGTGGCAAGGATACAGCCTCATCTTGCCGCGATTTTGACAAGAAATTTGAAACTTAACGCGGGATCGATACCGCGATCGTACCTAACCTTGCTATTTTCTTGTGTAACGAAAATTTAACAATCTTGATGCGAAAATTTTTTGACGGGATCGCGCTGAAATTCTGCAAAGGTTACGGCCGGATTAAAACGAGATCCGGACAAGAGCGTACCAAGATCCCTGTGTGATTAGAACCAGATTGCAGGAAGACTGAGCAAGCTTTCCTGCCACTTATCTGATTGTCACTATGTTCTTTCGATGGTTTAATCTCTTTTGCACCAAATTTCATCATGTTTTACTCGGTATTTTCTTCAAGAACATGAAGTAATTAGAGATTTTCTCCTAGAACACCTTCTTCAGAGTACACAGCAATTTATTTTCTTTGTTTTGAGTTATAAACTCCATTTCATTTCAATGTCACAAAGTTGAACTATTACTAATGTGCTCATCTAAGAGGGATATTGTTGCCGGTGAGAAGTTTCATCTCAGATGTATCTTTAGGTTCTTCGTCGGTGTATTTTTCAGTTCTAATTTGAAACGTTACTGCCATTTGATATCAGAATAGAAGTGAGAGGAGCTGTCTTTGTGTTTCATCTGTGAGTTGTGCCAATAAGGTAACGTTTGCCGTATGCGAAGAAAACATTCACGCTTGAACTTCCAGTGAACGTGTATCTGTAGATACTTGACACTCGGACCAGTTCGTTGCTAGAGCCAATCTAACGTCCTGTAATTGAGGTGCTCTGGCTGTGCCGCTATCCTCTGTACGTCAAACAGGATCGAAATGATCGTTGCAACATTCTGAAAGACTCAAACGGCAAAGCGATCTTACACCGAGGAACTCACATGATAACTGAACCTTTGTGTACATTACTCTCACTGCTGTGCACTTTCATTCTGAGATTTCTGCACAGTCAACGTATTTAACTGAACCTACGCATGGGAGAAGACGTTAGATGTGGTGCATCTTCCGAGAAAGAATATTCCCTTTTGATTCTAAAACTGTCAAGAAGAAAATAGTTCAACTTTGAGACAAAAAAATTAATTTTCCTCTTTGAATACTCTTCTTCCCTCGAAAATTGCTGTGCACTTACTGATGACAATAGTCAAATAGCTAGTCTATTTCCATTAACTACAACAAAACCCAAAAAACACTGGGATTTATTTTGTACTTTGATAGTTTAAGGAACAGAATGATATAATAATAATAAAAGATTTTCCTCAACGGTGGACAAAGGAAAAATCTCCCCAAGATCTTGTCTCGAATTAGACACGATCTTGCTATAATCCTGCTGTGATCCCGTCACTCTCTTGAAACACAAATGAAACGGGATCGCATAACGAACTTGATCAAGAACACGATTACAATTATACGATCACGATTTTGTTTTGCCACGATCAGCATTTTTCGTTACACGGAAAAAAATCGGGCTCGCGATCAGATCTCAGCAAGAGTGAAACGGGAATACTACTAGAGGACATTAAATTTCATGGAACAAATTGCCTCAGACTGATTGTTCGAGACAAGTTGTCTAAGGCAAAATGTCCGGAAGCGAATTACCTATGAGATGAAGTGTCCAAGGCGAACTGTCCGTGCTATAAAATGTCCAGAGGCGATTTATCTTGAAACGAGATGACCTAGTACCGAAAGTTGAAACAGTAATAATATAATTTCACGCGAAACTGGGGAGCGTGCACGATGTGAACGGGAATTCATAACATTAGCAGTGTGAATTTAACATTTCTTTTAGAGGCGAGCAAGATACTCTCATCATACAGGAGATAGATATCTTTTACTTTTTCATATCTGTTTGATTTCTTGTGTTGCTAAAGCGACAAAATTCAGTTGTTGTATTTTTATTAGATGAATATCATGTATGATTTCAATGTTTAAACTCGACTTGTTTATACGTAAATTTTGTTTTACAACCGCTTGTTTCGTTACAGAAAAGCTCAAGCCTTGGGAACTTGAACTGGCACTTAATACGCGCGCAGTCATCAGGCCTACACGCCGCGCGCGTAGTAAGTGCCAGTTCAAGTTTCTAAGGTTTGAGCTTTTCTGTGACGAAACAAGCGGTTGAAAAAAACAAAATTTAAATATCATGTATACATTTTGTTTATGCATAGTTTACTGACTGCTCAAGAAGATTTCAAGACATTCCTCATCGAGAATGAATCTTATTTTTATTGCATTTATAGTCGTGTCCGTTCTTCGAATAGTTTGTAGTAAATAGTTTCGTTGTAAGGAAAACTTGATTTTCAAAAATTGACTAATTGGTAATTCTTTCGGTACTGCCTCACAGTCTTCTTGCAGGTCCACTTTATACCTTTTGAAAGATATGAATCAACTGAGATCCCAATACCTTGTCTCCGGTTTCTAAGATATAAGTCTTGAAATCGCGGGTTTTTCCAGAAAGCCTACCAACTGCAAAGTACATGGAAATTTTTTTAAACATACTGTTAGACTCAACGTTCATTTCTCTACAAAATGACATATTTTCCACGTTTATATTGCTTAGCCAAATGAAATCGCATCAAAAACTCGGAAAGAGCTCATTAACGGCTAAAGATGCTTGATTTCACTGATGTTGTACAACAATTCTGTATTGACTCCAACTCGGCCATTCTTTACCTTAAAAGCGTGGAAAATATGTCATTTTGTAGATAAATGAGCATTCAGTCTAATGGTATGTTTAAAAATAATGTTTCATGTACTTCGCCGCTGGTAAGTTTTCTGGAAAATCCGAGGCTTCAAAGACTTATATCCCAGAAACCGGAGATACGGTATTCGGAGCTTGGTTAATTCATATGTCTCAAAAAGTGCAGAGTCCGAAAATGTGCATTGGGTTCAACAAAAATGGGAAAAACATAGTTAAAAGACCATCAAAACTCAAATAAGTACTGTAATGCTTCTCAAGATGGCTCTGAGCAGACGTACAGGAGCAGTGTGAACAATTAAAAACTACATTTCTAGATAGAACAAACGATGAAGAATCTGATGCACATATTGCTTTTGAGTTTAGAGTTCGATTTGATGGTGAAAAGTGCATTTCAATACGACAGATTTTTATGATTTTCGCCATTTTAGAACAAGTGCAGTAGAGCAATGAAGCATCTTGAAATGCTTTTAAATGAGCTATTCCATATTGTGTTCAGTCTCTATTCTAAAGCGTTCAAGTTTGTCGCTTTTGTCATTTCTGAGATAATTAGGTATGAACTGCGTCGTGGAACCTATAAAATCACCAAATTTCGAACCTGCTCAGAGCCCCATGCCGATGTTTTAAAATTTTTTAACTAACGCATTCCTACTCAGGATTAAATGCGCTTTCAAATGAGACATGTCGTGACTTTTTGCGGAAGATCTGCATGTAAAGTGTGGGACAGTATCAAAATAATTACCCTAATAGAAACACGTTCTTTATTTTGATATTTGTCATATAGTGTGTGTCTGAAGGACGCGGTTATTTTTCTAACAGAAAAAGAAAGAATGATGGCGAGAGGTAACTGAGCGTGAAAGAAAAAGGGATTATTTTGTAGCAATAATATACGATAATTTATTTGTTAATGAAAATAGACATGGTAGAGGTACCTTCGCCCATGGTGGTAAACCGACCTCCGTTACGGTTTTCAACTCGTATGTGTATGGCATTACTTGTGCTAATGGCATTTCTTGTTCTACATTTGCAACGTATTAATTTACCAATCAGTATAACCTGTATGATTAATAAAACAGTTAGTTATGAAGCGAATCCAAAACAAATTACACTTTTGTTGAAAAGAAAACAATATCACTGGAGTGAATCAAATCAGCAATTATTATTAGGCGCTTATTGGGCTGGTTATATATTCACTCAGATACCAGGTGGATGGCTAGCTTCAAAATATGGTTGTAAAATTGTCTATTTTATGTCTTTATTTACGAGCTCAATAATAACACTGATATCATGCGGAATGTATTTCATGGCGGACACTGAAGTCATACTGATTGTTATATTTAGATTCTTCATCGGTATAACGCACGCCAGGAATCATTTACCTAATCCGCCTAGTTTTAGGGGAGGAGGACGTCAGCATAGAATAGAATTAAGATTAAAATTCTGTTGTCTTCTGTATGATTTTAGTAAAAAGGAAACTTACAATTTCAATTAAAGTCCAAAAAACTTTCTTGGCTTTCTAACCTGAAAAACGTGTGCATAAGCAAAATTTTGCGTTCCTCAATAAATTCATCCTTTTCTAGTATAACATGTGTGAGCGGGATGAAAGAAACACATTCCACCACCTAGTTACTTGAAAGTTCGAGGTCGGGTCGAAAAGCTTTGCTTGTCAGTTCACGTCCTTTACTTCACGATCGCTTTTTAGTTAAAGAAAAGCCTATACCTCAGAAACATGGACACGTTTCCACTATATGTACACTGAAGATTTCCGTTTTCTAGCTTTTCTCTCAGATGAGTTGAGGATATATACGTCAACGTCATCTGAAGTTTTATTTGCACGACAACTTTGGACCTATTACAACTGATGTTCTAACATCTCTAGAGAAAAAGCGCATTTTGACAAAATTCTCTGTGTCTGTGATAATGTGTTAAAAGAAAAAGAATGATTTTGGTTTTCATACTCGCCTTTGTAGAACGTAATAACTTCTGTAATCTTCTAGTGAAGTTCCAGAAAGTCGATTTTCGAAATCAAAACCATTTTCCACTATTTTCTTGCACTGAAAAATGTTTTCATACTGAAAAGAACTTTGGCGTATATATTGGCTTACAAAAAACATTTTTCTTCGTTATACGAGTCGTTTTCCATTTTTATACATCATTATGATAAAATTCTTCATTCAGAACGTAAACGATGAGTGGGAGAAAATATTTTAGATATTTATAAAAGTCAGTATTCTGTTGATATGAGCAGATTAAAAAATATCTTTTTTTACCGAACGTCCTGAATGATGATCTGCTGTTATATATCCAGTTACAATGACATTATGGTCACAATGGGCTGTACCAGAAGAGCGTGGAACACTTATATCCATTGGTTATTGTGGCACACACTTAGGAACAGCGATTACAATGTTTATTGGGGGTATCTTGTGTAGATTCATAACAAGTGGTTGGTTATACTTATTTTTATCTTCAAGTCTATTCGGCTTTCTATGGTGTTTGTTGTGGTATTGGAAAGCAGCTGATTCACCTCTGGAACATAAGACCATATCGGATAAAGAAAAACAGTATATTTCCGCAGGAGCTGGTATAATGAACAGACGAAAGACAAACCAAAATATACCATGGAAAAAGATGCTGGCATCAAAACCATTAATAGCATTAATTAGTACTGATGTACTTAATTTGTTTGGATTCTTTTTCTTTACCTCCAATTTGGGTAAAATTATGGTTGAGGTGCACCAAATACCAGTTATCTATACTGGTATCATAGCAGCCGCTGGATTCCTTTGCACATGGTTTACAGCACTCTTCTCAGGTATCAGCACTTATGAGATTACGTTCTTGCCGCAGGCTTAACACCGTTCACAATTTTCTCATGTTCTCTGCTTTAGACAATGTCTACGAATAGAATCTACTGCATGATGAGGGTGTCTTAGCCTTGCTTGTCTCTAAAAGAAACGTTAAAATCGTACTGCTAAGATTATAAATTATTGTTCACATCGTGCACTCTCTCCAGCTTCTCGTGAGATCACCGCTTCCACTTTTATCTCACTTTCGGAGGTTGAAAAACGTTTGTTTTATCCTGATCGCTTTTAACATTAAGACAGAAAGGAAAAGAACAGGTTGACAACAAAGAACATACTACATTGACACGATTGACTGAACAGAAGCCACGAACTGGCGTTCGAAGGCTACGCAAATTTACTTTTTACTAAGTTGATCGAAAGGAAGCTGTAATTCTTTATTCTATGTAATATGTAATGTTCGTGTCTGCCTCTGGCTTTGTTCAGGCCAGGAGGCCATGTCTTAACTCTGTTCTTCCGTTTCCGTAACTAACGAGGAAACAGTCCCAGGTACCTCGTTCTGATTTCGTTCGTTCGTACACCATTCGATGGGGGATCTCGAGTTGGTAAAAAGCCTAAAAGGATATCGACCTATAACTGTTTAAGACCCGGTTTTGTGGAACACCAGTTTTTCAGAAACTCTAAAAAATAACCAAAACCTTTCTTAATGAGATATAACTGTAGCCCGTAAATTTCCGGTATGAGACATCTCTCAGCTCTACACGAGCTTTATTTGCAAAGTTATAGAATTGACAATTGAGCTGACAATGAACATTTAGGACTTTTCTTGTAAATTCTATACCTTTGCAAATAAAGCTCGTGTAGAGCTAGGAGATGTCTCATTTTAATGAGAAATTTGCGGACTACAATTATGTATCATTAAGAAGCGTTTAGGTTATTTTTTAGAGTTTCTGAAAAACTGGTGTTCCACAAAACCGGGTCTTAAAGAGCCGTTAGCGGAAATCCTTTTAGACCTTTTACCTACTCGAGTTCTCCTATCGAATGATGTATGAACGAACGATATCGGAGCGAGGCACCCGGAAATGTTTCCTCATAAGCCAAACTCGTATGCAGAGGTCTGGATGCATTAGAATACATTAATTTATTCATTTATCATTTTTCGACAGTTATCATACAAAACGCGCAGGATACTGTGAGTCTATTGATTGCGCACATCAGATAGAGAAGAAAGAGATGCATGTAGACATCCGCATTCATTCAGCAGCAATGGGTGTTTACTGCATTTCTTTTACAATCTTGTAGTGGTTAGTAGCCGCTGCTCTCAACATTCTCTCCACATAAAATGAAACGTTCTATGGAAATATAAGCATAAATCCGTTTTCATGTTCCATAGAGTATGTGGATGATAGTTGTTTGAAATACGTTGAACGCTTCTTGCTTCAGTCCTTGCAAGAATCCACGCTTTCTCACTACAACAAAGTATTAACGCTTCATGAGGAGCATTTCCAAAAGTGATGGAGCGCACACAGCGTCAAGAAATGTTTAAGCGTTGTGATATCTAAAATGTGGTATTCTCATGGGAAAAGTAAAAAGGAGTCCAAGAAATTGTAGCTCAAGCTGCAAAATAAAAACAAAAAGAGGCTATTCTGAAGCGCTATATCTAATGTGTATAAGTCATGAGGATACCCATATACAATGGATCAACCTTGAGCAGACATTTATCTGGACAGAAATACTTTTGAGATGTTTTATTTCAGGAATAATTGCTGATAAGTTCGTTAGAAAAGGGATAATGTCTATAACAAATACACGAAAATTATCAAATTCTATAACATCTTTTGGACCATGTTTATGTATGATATCATTCTATTTTTGTGATGAAAAACAAAAAGTATTAAGTATATTAACTATACTCACTTATTTGGCATGTAGTGGTAAGTATTCAAATGGAGCAAATAACTCTGTCATATATCATAATGTATTTTCTTACAATATTTAAGGCTTTGGCTATGGTTCGGGTTATGTTGTCAATTTTAATGATATTATTCCAATGTACAGTGGTTTCGTCTTTGGTATCGTAAATACATTTTCCTCACTAGCTGGCGTTTGGGGAAATATGATTGCTGCGATAGTGTTAAAAGAATCAACATTATCAAACTGGCGTCCTCTGTTTATTCTATTTTCAATTGTCTATTTTTTGGCTGGCGTGGTCTATCTGCCATGGGGTAGTGCTTTACCTGAAAAATGGGCAGAATTTCCAGCCAATGCTCCTAATGACGAAGAGGTTCCGATGCAAGATGTTAATTTGAATGAGGTACACGCTTAAATTCCAATCACAATTTTTTGATAATTTTTAAAGTTATTTGCACAGCTCCTGCTTTAACTTGATCATGTTTTATTATGCATAGTCCAGTCGAAATTTACTTCGTAAAACTCCATTATGTGCTAGTCGAAGAGTCTTTTTTCTCTTTTCCTTATTTTGTTCGAACTTTAATGAACTGAGCATTGCTAAAAAGTAATATTGAACAAATTATTTCTGTTCGGTCCATTTTGAAAAGTTTGTCAAACTCTCATGTATGGTAACCAGTTTATAAGCAAATAAAACTGCGCTACTCTTCCTTAAAGCTTTCATCAAACATATCTCTCAGTCAACACCCGATCATACAATTTTATAAGCTTATTTTGATATTAGTCTTAAGTCCCATACTGTTACCGTTTTTACCGCACGTATTTCTGTCACCGACATATTTATTGCACACATTATGTTACGAGGTGAGCTGTTCTAACTTGTTTTTCCTGATTCAGCGTTGGAAACTGAATTAGAAAATGATCTTAGAACATTTTTAGAACAAAACATCTATTCATAAAAAATTACGTAATGTCCATGGCACAAAAACAGAACACAGTTTTGCAAGTCTGTTATGGGTTTTTCTAGAGGTGCTAGAGCCAACATTTTTACTTGGTTAGATCTGCTAGATGCTCAGCTTCAAAGTTACGAAAAAAGCTTTTCCAAAAATTTCTTTTTCTCGCTGATAAAGATCTAAATCAGAGGCGACAAAGTCGGAATTGTGCCCGTAATTCCCAATTTTCTCGATCAGAACTAAACTTTTGACCAATAAAAATATCATATTCGAAATCAGGCTCAAAATCTGAGTCAACTATCGTATATTTCTATCCTATTCGATTACTTTAATGTTTTTCGAATTTTCACATTGAAAAATCACCGAGATTTTCACCCAAACTGAAAATCAGCTAAAAATTTAGAAATACACAATAGTCGATAGCTTTTGATCCTGGTTCCGATTATGATATTTTTATTGGTTAAAAGTTTGAGACATGTGGACAAAGTAGGGATGTTACAAATAAGATGAGTGAATAAAATGATCACTTATTCACATAGTCACTTTTGCGTTCTATCACTTTTTCAGGCGACGCTATAGCGGAACTATATATACGAAAAAAACAACATTCGGCTACAACGCCGTCTGAAAAGTGATAGAACGCAAAAGTGACTATGTGAATAAGTGATCATTTTATTCACTCATCTTATTTGTAACATCCCTAATATCAATTCGCCGCTATTTTTACGAACTGATGTTAAAGACAAGAAATTCTTCTATGAGGTTAAAAATAGATAGATTCGTCTCTTCGCATCGGTTCGCGTAGTTCTCAACTGAATTCGCCGTTATTTTTACGAATTCATCTGTTTTCTTTCGCGAAAAACTATCCACGGACTGATGAAAGCATTGAACGAATTCATGCGAAGAGGCGATTCTTTGTTTTCTTAACCTCATAGAAAAACTTCTTGCCATTGACATCAATTCGTATTCTACGAGTTCATAAAAATCACGGCGAATTGAGGTGAGAACTATGCGAACCAATACGTAGAGAGGAAACTATCTATTTAATGCGAATTCGGCAATTCTATTTACAAATTCGTCGGTTATGCTTGACGAATTGATGTCATGGATAAGACACAGTTCTCTGAGGTTAAGAAAAGTAAGAATCGTCTCTTCGCATCGGTTCGCATAGTTCCCAATTGCACTAATACTCAGAACCATTCTTACTGCCCCCCCCCCTCCGCACAGCACACAAAAAGGAGGAAGATTCCTCTATTTTCTTTCGTGAAAAACTATCGACGAATTGATGCGAAGAGACGAATCTATCTATTTTTAAGCTCAGAGAAATGCTTCTTGTCCTTGACATTAATTCGTATTTTACGAATTCGTAACAATAACCCCGAATTGAGGTGAGAAGTATGCGAACCGATGCGACATAATAAAAACAAAATTGATGATTATGATAGAGCTAGGAAATATCGCATAAATTTTCAGTTCATGATGATTTCACCCATTATAATGCAGTTGCTATGACAACGTTTAATGAGACAATTATTCAACCTTTTTCACACACATAATAAAATATAGATTCCTAAACTGTATTTACAGTAATAATTGTGTATAATACATAAAGTGAAGTGAAAGTCTAAAACATTGTATTGAAATGTCTACGTTAAATAAAAGCTTTTTCGTGTATCATACATTCGCTTTAAATGTGTTTTATTTTGTAACAATCCAGTCCCTTATCCAATTTTCGGTTTTTCATCACTAAAATCATTACAAATTCTCAGTGCTAATCCACACTGGAATGCAGATGGTACATTTAGAACGTCACGAAAACTATTTTATCAAAGCTACGGTACTCATACATGGGATGAATTCACTATGAAGTCAGTTGTTTATGCTGCATTACCTAACAAGGAGGTCGTATCGGTACTATTAAATGCACTAACAACTAGTTTAAGAATCCATATTTTAATAAAGTAGAAACTACAAGCTACAAATTTTTCACTTCACTTTATATATTTTATACAAATTTTATTATATAGACAAAGCGAATAAAGTTAAGTGAGCAGCTAGAGTAATATCTGTAAAACTTATACTGGTTAGTATGTCAATTAACTACCTGTGATCTTGTCTCGTGTCTCGCTTCGATTTCACAATCTTTTATTTTTGAAACACTTATCCTACTCCTAATGAATCGAAAAAACACTCATATATATATATGCGAACGAAAGAGAGACGGAAAAACATCATGGAACGGGCACTATAGCGGCTGCTTCAACTAGTAACAAATTGGCTAACCCGATTTTCAGTAGGTGAGGCTTGTTGGGAATCGGATACAGTAACTTGATTTTCCATGAAGGAAGCTTTTCTCGCAGTTGAACCGAGACAATAGTAAGGTGCCAATAATCCAAAATGAAGCAGAGTTTTTTTCATTCTCTCTGCTATAGTTGGGCAGAGCTCATCAAGTTAGATACAAAAAGCTCCATTTAAGACTTTCTGAAGTCATTTTTGGGTGAAATTTTCCAAAATATTGATTTTTAAAAAGAGGCAACAATACATGAAATTCTGAGAAATAACCAAAATTTTCGTATTTATTCCTAATCTATTATTTTAAACCTAATTCTTTTCTGATTCGGCATGCAAAACTGACTATAGAAAACTAAATTTGACAGTGTCCGTAGTTGAAATGGAGTCAGATTTTGAGAAAACCGAGTAGAACCAGAAAAGAGCTCCTGTTCATCTTGCAAATCTGTCTAGGTTTTCTAGTTAAGAGATAAATTTTTTTCTTATCGTCATTCGAATCATCATATCAGGAGGGGAAAAGGTATAAATTTTTTTTTTTTAAAATATTGTATCTTTATTGAAACACTGCACTTTCTTTTTTCATGAATTTTATGCAACCGAAAATGGATGTGGTCAACTTCGAGTAAAAACTTGAATTTTTATTGAAATATTGTCAACATAAAAGCATATAGGTAAAAAACAATGTAGAATGCAATGAATATAAAATTAAGTTTTTCAAAAGACTTTCAGAGGATCTTTAGGGGAGCTCTGAAAAGTTTTTCTCTAAAACTTAGGCTGTTTAATTTGGATTTTTAATGTGAATGTTTGTACTTATTTGATTGTGTAAAAGCAAAAGGGTAATGTTAGAGTATAATGTACTCAGATCTTTCATTTCCCTCTTTCCACTTTCACTTTGTTTAAGCGAAATATCTTCATTGTATTCAAGCGAGATGTTTTCAATCTATTCAGATTCATTGTATTCAAGCGAGATGTTTTAACTCTATTCCCATTCATTGTAGTCGAGAGAAATATCTTCATTGTGTTCAATAGAAATAGTGTCATCCTTTTCTTTACTTTCATTGTTCAAGCATGATAGTCTATTTTCCTTCCATGCATAAGAGAAAATTATTCTTTTCCATCTCTCTTTCGTTCGCATATATATATGAGTGTTTTTTCAATTCATTAGGAGTAGGATAAGTGTTTCAAAAATAAAAGATTGTGAAATCGAAGCGAGACACGAGACACGATCACAGGTAGTTAATTAACATACTAACCAGTATAAGTTTTACAGATATTACTCTAGCTGCTCACTTAACTTTATTCGCTTTGTCTATATAATAAAATTTGTATAAAATATATAAAGTGAAGTGAAAAATTTGGAGCTTGTAGTTTCTACTTTATTAAAATATGGATTCTTAAACTAGTTGTTAGTGCATTTAATAGTACCCGATGCGACCTCCTTGTTAGGTAATGCAGCATAAACAACTGACTTCATAGTGA